ACACACACACACACTACCAAATGGAGTGCTTTGAACCCTAGATTGGATCCTGATCCCTAAACCAAAGCCTTTTGAAAAGATCTTCCTCTTCTTCTGTATAAAGATACTATTAGGACGCCTGACTAATATCTGTAGATTAGAGAGTAACACTGATTCAAACTTAACTTCTTGATTTTGACAAGGGCTGTATAAGAATATGTGCTTTTAAAAGAAAGGAACACATGCCTGAGTATTTGGGACAGCACAGGTACATTTTCTTCCTGTTGCTCTGACACGGTGCAGGAGAAATTACAAGTTAAGTGTGTGTCTGTACACACACATCCACAAATAGGTGCAAAGAGAGAGTGGGAGAAAGTGCCAGAAAGATAAAACAAGTGTGGCTGAAAGTTAATATTTATAGAATGCGGCTGAAAGAGAGATCAGAACTTTTCGGTTTATTGTTGAAACATTTCCATAAATCTGAATCAGCTTAAGACGAAAAAAAATTACAGGGGAAGGAAATCGTTAAGGAAGCCAGAGTGATAAAATAGCCACGTCAGGGACCTGAGCCAAGCTGGGGTGGAAGATCTCGCTGGGTCTGATGGCCAGAGCCCCTGTCTTAGCTCTGCCCCTAAGAACTGCCTTGAATCATGCTGTGTTCCTCCACTCGAATCCCTTCGTCCACAAAACAAGGATAAGAAGTGTTGGCCCCCCAGCCAGAGAAGGCATTGGCTCCCACTGGGGCACAGGAGGGTGGGCTCTGAGTTGATACTGAAGCTGGGAAGGAGAACAATTCAAGTTCAGAGTCCCCTGTACAGCTAGGGGCCAGCAAGAAAGTCACCGAATGAGGGATGTGAGGACCTGCGGAGACAGGGCAGGAAGACAGAAAGAGGGGCACAGGAGGAGGGCGGCAGGGGCACCAGCAGGGCAGGGAAAAGGCTCAGTTCTACAGCCAAGACTCCTCTAGGAGGCCCCGTGGGGAGGCAGCTTCCCCTGAAAGATAAAGGAAGTGATCCATCAGAGGAGAAGACCTCCACAGAGATCAACAGAGCAGCCTGAGCACAGGCTCTACCCTCCGACACAGCAGCCAACCGCTCCCTGTGGCTGTTTCAATTGAGTTTAAGCTCCCCTAAAATCCACATAAATTGAAAACTTAGTTCAAGCCAGGAGTGATATAATCTCAGCTCCTAGGAGGCTGAGGCAGGAGGACCGTGAGTTCAAACACAGCCCAGGCTGGACAACAACGCCCTGTCTCAAAAATAAGTAGATAAGAGAATAAGAACTCAGGTCCTTGGTCATAGTAGTCACATCCTGAAGCTCTGTAGCCACATATGGCTATTAACTACCATCACTTCCTTCACTGGAGAAGGTTCTAGGGGACAGAATGGAGACTCTAGCAAAACAAGATCCCAACGAGGTAGTAAGGACAGAGTGGGGGACTGAGGGTGTGGAATGGCTTTAGGCTAGACACAGAACAGGCACAGAGATGTTCCTGAATTTCAGACCAGAAACACAAGGACACAGAGAGGTAGAGAAGGAAATACTTGGAGATGTGAAAGTGGGCACGACTGGACTCACACTGAGGTGGTGGGCAGTAACGGAGAGTGTGGACACTCTCATCTTCTCTGTCAAAAGCCACTTTCTGAAAGGGAACCTAGGGTTTAAGGGGTACAAAGCTGTGGCACAGGGCAAAGTGTATGCAGTCTGAGTTCATGACATGGAATTCTTGTGTTTCATAGGAAAGCAAGCCTCCATGAAATTAAAGCCAGCATCAATTTAAAATGGAACCAGTCCAGGGATCTCTGTGACTGGCAGGCTAGGAGAAGAAAATACAGACAAAGGGGGTAGTTTGGGGATTGGAGACTGGAATCCAAGGAATCCAAGGATGACAGCATGGTACACGCCTTTAATTCCAGCAGGCTGGAGGCAGAGATAGGCAGCTCTTGGAATTTGAGGGTAGCCTGGTCTACAGAGTGAGTACCAGGTTAGCCAGGCTACATATTGAGACCTTGACTCAAAAAAAAAAAAAAATCAACATGTCAAAACCAAAGATGTGGAGCCCTGCAGATAGGCTGAAGCATTGCAACGCCAAGGATGCAGGCCTGGAATCCTCGGGGATGGTGAAAGCCACAGTAGGTAAACAGAGATGGTGCAGTGGGAAGAAGCTCAAGTCCTAGCTCCTGAAAGGGGAAAACCGGCCCAAACTCAGCATGTCTGTGGTATTAGTGGTTGAAGGGAACTGCAGGCAGAGTCCTGGGGGTCAAGACTGAGCCATAGGGGTCAAGGCTGGGGCATAGGGGTCAAGGCTGGGGCATAGGGGTCAAGGCTGGGGCATGGGGGTCAAGGTGGAGACACAGGGGTCAAGGCTGAGCCACGGGGGTCAAGGTGGAGACACAGGGGTCAATGTTGAGACATAGGGGTCAAGGCTGAGCCACAGAAGTCAAGGCTGAACCATGGGGTCAAGGCTGAACCACGGGGTCAAGGCTGAGCCACGGGGGTCAAGGCTGAGGCACTGCAAGGTCATTAAGTGCAGCAAGTCTCCATGTGAAACACCAAGTCAACCAGCAAGTTCATGACTTCTGCTTACACGCAAATGAAGTGGTTTCCCTGCCTGAGCCAGCATCATATAAACTGTTTTTTTCCTTCCTCTCTCCTTTTGTTTTAATTTTTAGACAAAACAAACAATTTTTTAATTGTGTACATTTCGGCACACATGTGTAAATCAGAAGACAACTTAGAAGTGTCCGTCTTTCCTTGTACCGTGTAGATTCTGAGGCGCAAGCTCAGGTTGTCTGTCTTGGTGACAGGTGCCTTTAGCTGCCGGACCATGTTGCTGAGATAAGCCTTGTCTTTTGTTGTTGTTGTTGTTGTTGTTTTACAGAAAGGGTTTAGTTTGGTTGATTGGTTTGGGTTTTTTATGGTCTTAAACCATCCTAATGATTCCATTTCAATATTTGAGAGAGTCTAAATGAGCCTGTCTTTTTCAAAACGTGTCTGGCGATTCTGAGGGGCTATTAGGTTTGGGAAGTACTGAAAGCCAGAAACATAAGGAGAGACTTGAGGTCAAGAAGACAGTATCACATTCTAAGACTTGGAGGTGACATGAAGGAGTTAGGGCCAAGTCATCCTGGTTCTATGAGTAGATCCCAGAAAGGGGCGCTCTGGGGAAAGTCATGTCCTTAGACTCTGGTAGAAGGGGAGAAAATAGAGATGAACTCAGAGACAGAAAATGAAAATACAGAAGAAGCGTGTCTGCAAGACACAAAAGAGGAGAGAGCCCGAGTGTCAGAAGTCACATGGGTGAGCAGCTGCAGGGGCAAGAGGATGAGTCCTCTGCTGATGGAGGCTTTAAGGTCGAGGACTTGTCCTTAAAGGGCTGTAGGCTGGTTGACGGAATTCCTGGGCAACAGGGATTTTTGTATCTGCATGGGGGCAGATTTCTAGCAGGTAACCCATTAAGAACTTCTAAGCCCTCAGATATACATATCTGAGGTATATCTGGCAGAAGTTTGCTCATTAACTGAAAACTTAGCTTCCCAGGCGACCTTTTTACACAGAGGAAATCAGATTCCCACAGATACCAAGAGTGTCCTTGAAACACAAAGTCAGAGATATCTCAACTGTCCAATGACAAGAATCCTGGGCACCCCTTGTCCCCCCTTAAAGGAAAGAGTTTATGGATGGAAAATGGAAAACGGCCTCCTTGTCATTTTTAGTACCGGTCAGTGCTAAAATTAGAAGAAATACCACAGCCTGTAAGTCACCTCTACACACACACACACACACACACACACACACACACACAGAGAGAGAGAGAGGGGGGGCACTGTACATTTCTTAATAAAGAACATATTTACTCTCAGAAACCTAATTCGTTGATTTCATTATATTTATTTGTTTAGCTTGTGTGCCTTGTGTGGGTGTGAAGATCAGAGAACAACTTACAGGGGTTGGATGGTGCTCTCCTTTCACAGTGTGAGTTCTGAAGATCAAACTCAGGTCATCAAGCTTGGTGACAAGGACATTACCCCACTGAGCCACCTTGTCAGCTCCCCACCACCACCACCACCAGTCTTTAAAGACCAAATGCAAAATATTTGTCCCTGCTTCCAAGAGATTCTCTCTGGAGATCCAAACCAGCCCAGCAGAATTTCTGTGAAAAAATCTCTAACACCAGCACACACAGACTTTAAGATGAGTGCACGCATGCGCAACACACACACACACACACACACACACACACACACACACAGCTTCTGCACATTGAAGAAATGACTCACTTTAATTTGCCACTGCCTGCCACTACTGGGTTTTGATTTTACCTGTTCAGACACAAAGTTTCCTACCAGATCAACTACTGGAAAGAAGTATTCAGTAGCTTAAGCCTGAAATGGATTTAGGATTTAGGAGCACCGATGGGATTCTGATCAATGCATTTAACCAGCCTTCCTGGACCACAGAGTGTTCCTTCCATAATCTTCCAGAAAATGGTAACACATTTCTGGCCACTTTGGGAGCCAGCTCATTGGAAATCCCTTGCAGAATAAACATGATTAAAGAGCTCACAGTACCAGCAAAACAGCCTTGCGCTGCAACTGGAGAGACAGGGAACCCGCGGGGAAGCAGTGTGGCTAACCCACCCAAGGTCACTCAGCTCTGACTGGGGGTGATAGACTTGTCATAGTCCTGGCAAACTCTGCACACCCTTGGCTCGCCTCAAACAGTCCCTCGGGGGCTCTGCTGTCTGCTAGCTTGCAGCCCCCGCGAAGATGCAATGCCACTTGCGCTCTGCGCCCAACTTCAGCCCTGCGCGTCAGCATGCAGTTAACCCTCTCGCGTCCAGAGTGTCACACGGGGCACGCGCAGCTTCACCCCTCACCCCCTTTCCCCAACACCATCCCATGCCTATCAGTGGAGTGATTGCCCCAAGGTCACATCAACGGTCCCTGCTGGTGCTCCCGCTGCTTGAATCCAGAGGATGCCCGGCCGCGTGGAGAAGAGAGGCACCCCTGGAGACTCACCCGCGCGCGGATCGGGCGCGCCGCGGCTGCCCATGTCGTCGCTGGCGCTCTGGATGTGGTGGCCGCGAGCACGGGGCTGTGCGGGGCGAACCCGGCTACGGGCCCGCGCTCCAGTCGGCGCGCGCGCGGCCCGGCCGGGGGTTCGCGGTTCCCCCACCCGGGGAAGGGCGCGAGCCGCCGCGCGCCGCCCAGAGCTGCTTCCGGGCGCGTTGCCTGGACGCGGTTGCCGTGGCAGCCCGAGCTGGAGGCTTTCCCCGCGCGCCCGCGCCCAGCCCGCCGGCGCCCCTCCTCCCTCCGCGCTCCTACACCCAAAATAGCCTTTCCGCAGCACCGCGGGTCCCCACCCAGTTCGCAGCAAGGAGTCAGCGGGCGGGGACTTGCTTTCAGGAACCTCAGTCCCGTCGTAGGGCGCGTCGACTTGGAGGCAGAGGTAGGTGTAAAGAAGGATGCTTGAATGAGAGAGCCCAGTCTTCCAGGTCGCAATGTCATCCGTCACCCTCCCGAGAATCCTAGCATCCCTTAAGTACCAAGCCTGGTTCCCACCAAAATAGTTATCTGTGCTCTCCACCACGAACTGGAAAGAAGTTAGGGGTGAGATCACAGTCTGGTAAACAGCTCCTTCCGTCGCCCCACCTGCACAGGTGATGGAACCCTCCAGGCGACAAGTGTCTATGAGGGAATCACCGTGGTTCGCACATATCGGTCCAAGAAACAGCACCCCAGGAAGAATGCTAGCTACGCTGCTTTTCCTCCCAGCCCTCCTACCTCTGCCGAGCTCCCAGAGAATCCTAGCTCTCTCTGTCTTCCTTCGCATCGGTGCTGGATTCTCAGCAGGATCCACTCACAATTTTGCTTCCTCTCCGTGGGTGGGATTTAAGCAGAGTGGGGGATCCCACCTTTGCTTGCCTCACCGCGTCTGGTTCGGAGCTCTTACGTAGAGGCACAAGCTTACCCAGTGCAGGTGCTCCCGTCTAGCGGCTCCCTAGCCCTCACAGCCCCCCAATTCAGGGGAAGCTGGAAAGAACATAGACTGTGCAGCCACTTGGATAGGTCTGGCCTTGGAATTCACCATCCTGAAGTAATTTGTGTGTGGTCTTGGGAGTTCTGCAATTTCCTCGTCTGTAAAGTAATAACTCTTTCAACACACACACACACACACACACACAGCTAATGAATATAGCATTCATTCAGCCAACAGTGTTTATTGAATGTCTGCCAAGTGCTAGAAACTATGCTTTATCTCCAAGGAGAAATGGAGAAGATGAAGATGGAGAAAGGAAGAGGACTCTGCTTTTCTCCTGGTCGTTACAACCGAACACACATTAATTAAACATGTGTAAAAAGAACATGGTGACCAAGAGGGTCCTGGCCTGAGTCCTGTCCCACAGCAATCTGACCTAACATTGTGCCTTTCGTGGGATGGCTTCTGTTTCCATATCACCTGCTGCACAGGCTGTAAATGCATATTGGATTCAATCCTAAGGCAGGGGAATTGCTGGGAATTTCCACCACTTAGCATATTTTTGAGGGGGGATGAGGAAATGGCTCGGTCGATAAACTGCTTGCCTTACAAGAATGAGGACCTGAGTTCTAGCCTCAGAACTCACATTTAAAAAAAAAAAAATCAGCGCTCTTGTCGTGCCCATATCCTCATGCCGGCTCCTACACATGCACTAAATAAATGAATATTTTTTAAGTCAGACACGGGAATTTGATGTGCACTTGTAACTCAAGAGCTGGCGAAGCAGAGACAGGCAGGTAGATCAACCAGACCTCCCTGGTCATTCTGCCTGGCTTTCCAGGTGAGTTCAAAGACAGAAAAGAGACCCTGGCTCAAAAAGACAGATGTCACCTGATGAACGACATTTGAGGTTGTCCTGTGACCTCCACACACCCACACCATCACACGCACACACACACACACACACACACACACACACACACACAAACAAAGCATCGCTTGCCACAGTGTCTAGAAAAGCACAGCTTCTACCATAAAGTACAAGCACCTATCACGGTGAGGCCACAGACGGGCTCAAATACCTGTCGCAGGCTGCCTTCCAGGGTAGGGTGGGCCTTTCAGACACACACAAGACAGTCTGGTCCTGTCCATTTTTTGTTTCCTCCTCCCTCCTTCCCACTCTGCTCCCTCCTTATCCCGCTCCATCCTACCACACCCCTCGTAGTCAAGGATTCAAGGTCCTGGGAAGGTGAGACGGTGAAGCACCTGTAGAAGACAGGACAATCGTCACTTCCAACAACCTCCAAAGTGCAGCTTTATTTACCACGAAATCTCTTCACACTCTGGGGTAAGGAATACCTGGGAGGTGAGGGGTTTGCCGGAAGCACACAAAAACCTTTATTTAATTTCTTTTTTTAAAAAAATCAAATTGATTAATATAAGACCATATTTTAAAAGATTCCTTTGTGAGGCATGGCGGCCTATTCTTGTAAATCCAGCAGTCAAGAGGCTTGGACAGGTTAGCATGGGTTACAGAGTGATCCTGTCTCAAAGAAAACAAAAAGTAAAAAAAGATTCACTTAATTAAAAAAGCCAAAACCAACCCTTGATGCCTCAATACCAGTCCTAAGATTTCAAAGCAGTCCCAAATCAGGCCTGTGACTTCCCATCTATATCCCCGATTTCCTCCTTTTTTCTTTCAGGAGCTCTGTTTTTAATCCTAAAGGGGCCAAATTAAGCACACAATAGTTTAAGCTTACTCTAGTTTCTTCCTTACCCTTTTACACACCTATAAGGTAAATTTCAATCAAGTATTCAATTTTCCAAAATTGTTTTTTATTGTAACTCATTAGAGGAATTGAGTTTTTTCTTGTGTTACTTTAATTACCAAATCATGAGTTATCACCAACTATTGTATGCTAGCAGAGGTTATTACTAAGAATGATTTTATCAAGAAAAGAAAATACAAATCGACTCCCCCTCACGATGGACTACAACGGTAACACTAAAAATGGTTTTATCAATGAAAGCTCAGCAGATGAAGGCACTTGCCACCAAGCCCGAGACATGAGCTGGAACCCTGGGACCCACATGATGGAGGGCAGAACTGACTCCTGCAATCTGCTCTCAGAGCTTGACCATGGCAATGCCCCCCCACACTTGCAAATAGATAAATAAATGTGATTTTTAAAAATTAATTTAAAAAAAGGCCGGACGGTGGTGGTGCACACCTTTAGTCCCAGAACTCAGGAGGCAGAGGCAGGCATATCTCTGTGAGCTTAAGTCCAGCCTGGTCTACACAGTGAGTTCCAGGATAGGAGAAACATAGAATAGAAATAATTTGTACATCCTTCGAGGCCAAACATTTCTGGGAGTTTGTTTTTAAAGTAACATTGCACCGCTGAGTTAACATCCCGTCTTGGCACTGATGTAGAAAATATAACAGATAGAATATCAATCAAACTGACCAGCAAGCACATTCAACTAGTAAAGATGAAGAATAGGCTGGGCAGATGGTTCGATGCATAAAGTGCTTGGCATGCAAGCATGAGAACCAGAATTCAAACTCCTAGAACCTACTTACAAAGCTGAGTGGTCATGGTGGTTGCCTGTAATTCAGGAGACAGAGACAAGGAATCCCAGAAGCAAGGCCACTAGCTAGACGAGCTGGGATGGTAAGCTCTGGGATCAGTGAGGGATCCTGCCTCTAAAAGTAAGGTGTAGTGTGATCAAGGAAGACATTCTGTCAAGCTTTAACAACCATGTGTCTATACATATATGCATACACACATGAATAATATAAAATTTAAAATAAGCTGATGGTCCAGGTTGGTCATAGTGGTATTTACTGAGGCCAGAGAGATGTCTCAGTGGCTAAGAGCACTGGATGATCTTCCAGAGGACTCAAGTTCAATTGTCAGCACCCACATGACATCTTACAACCCTCTGTAACTCCAGTCTCAGGGCACTGAGGCTCTCCTCTAGCCTCTGTAGGCATACATACATGCGGTGCACAGACGTACATGCAGGGAAAACACACACACACACATAAAAATAATAAAAAAATTTCAAAAATGTTTAAAAATGATATTTGTAAGAATATAAAGCAGAGCTGGGTGGTGGTGGGGCACGCCTTTAATCCCAACAGTTGGGAGGCAGAGGCAGACATTGCAGGCCAGCTTCATCTACAGAGTGAGTTCCAGGACAGTAAGGGCTACACAGAGAAACCCTATCTTGCAGAAGAGGGAAAGAAGAAGAATGTAAAACAGATGAGGCAAAACCAGCAGGATGAGCCCAAGATGGATCTATGGGACTGTTGTCTTATCCCAGGCTCTCTCAACAGGGTAGCTCCTCAGGCATCCAGATCTTCTGGTTGTGTCTCAAGTGCTTATGCCTAATAACAAGGTGCCAAACTATTGTCCTGTTAGGAAGGATCACATGTGAGACGAGGAAGAAAAAAATTCCCACAGGGAAACAGAGAGGAAAAGCCAGTGATGTAGGGGTTGGCACCATGCCAGAGAGGGCACGGACAAAAAGATTCACAGGGGACCTTCATGAGTAGTTGCCAGGCACCTGGGAATTAAGGAAGACTGGGTGGTGAAGAAATGCAGGGCAGACACTGGTCACTCTTTCCTGTGTGTTTTTGAGACAGTGTCTCACTATGTAAACGGGGTGTGCTGGTTGGTTCTTTGCCAGCTTGACAAAAGCTAGAGTCATCCTGGAAGAGGGAATGTCAATTCAGGGTTTGTCTCCATTAGGCTGGCCTGTAGGCAAATCTGTGGGGGACATTTTTCTGATTGATGATTTACGTAGGAGGACCCAGCCTACAGTGGGCGGTATCACCCTTAAGCAAGTAACTCTGAATTGTCTAAGACAGGTAGCTGAGCAAGCCCAGGGGGAAAGGTCAGTAAGCAGCACTCTTGCGTGGTCTCTGCTTCAGTTCCAACCTCCAATTTCCTGCCTTAAGTTCCTGACTTAACTCCTCTTGATGGTGGACGACAACTGTAAGCTGAAATAAATCGTTTCCTCCTCGAGTTGCTTTTGGTCATGTTATTTATCACGGTGTCAGAAAACAAGCCAAGACACCAGGCCTGCCTGGAATTCCTGGTCTTTCTCCCTTAATCTTCTGATTCCTGAGATTTACATGTGTGTGCCACCACACCTGGCCAATGTTAACTATTTTTTTCTTCTTTTGAGTCTCTTATTTATTCTTTGACAATTTCATAAATGTATACGATGCCTCTTATCCTGTCCACCCATGACCCCCGATTCCAGACCCCCCCCTTCACTGCCAGCATGTGCACTTCCAGTCTTCATATCCTTTCCTGTTTAGTTTTGATTTGTATTGCATGGGTA